TGAACATGTCATCCTATCCACCTGATTGTTAAAGTCCTCTGCTGAGGTCACCTTTTGGTGGGCATTCACATGAGACACAAATACCTTACTCCTTTGGCCCATTCAGAGAGATCTATCCACATACCTCTTTCCCATACATCGTTATCAACAATCTTCCAATCATGCTCCTTCCAAGTCCCAGACCATCTAGCTAAGCTGTAGCCATAGCCCATGAATCCATATATAATCACACATCTGGCCATTTCTTATTGCATGCAAAGTGAACAGCCATATGCATGGCTGGAAGTTCTGCCCACTGGGAGGCATTCAGTCTCTACTAAAGCCCAGTAACAAGCCAAAAGCTGTTTCTCAAAAAGAGAGTAGTTATCTGCAGAGGATGGCAGGGCTTTGCTCCCAAACCCCAAAGGTCTGCATTGTGATTCACCAATAGGGACCTGCCAAAGACTCCAAACAGCATCTCTATCTACTACAGACACTTGAAGCACCATTGGATCGGCTGGATCATATGGCCCAAGTGGCAGAGCAGCCTGCATGGCAGCCTGAACCTGTTGCAGAGCCTTCTGTTGTTCTCACAGAATTGTAGTCCAGTCAAGTTGACATGCAGCTCCAACTATTACAATGACTATCTATTCCTTCAATTTAATGTGAAGTAGCAGAATTTGCTGTGTACATAACACTAAACATATCCAGATATTCATTACCTACAGTGCATTAACTGCTTTCATTTAGATTCCTGAATGTTTCTGTAATCAATCAGAATTGCAGTGTTTAATTTCATAAATTAATTGTAGGCATCAGCTTCAAACTCAAGCAGAACTGGTTTTAGAGGAAAACAAGTTGTTGATAGAGCATTTGGAGATTCAGCAAAGGAAAGCCAAGGACACCCAGCAGAAGCATCTCCAGGAAGGTGAGAGCTCTTCCCACCAGTAACTGCAGTGCAGTGGTTTCACGATTGTGTCATTTTACACTTGCAGCTCTCTCCTGCTGTGCCCCTGCTCCTCTTGAAAATGGGGGAAATCATAGTTTTTAAAAATATATTCTTTACTGAAATGCAGCTGGTATATGTTAAAACATGTCCAGACATTACCTGTAATGCATTGATTGCTTTCTCTTAGGCTCACAGTGTCTCTAATTATTCCATATACTTTTTTGTAAATCAAATCAACAGCTTTAGACTCAGCAGAACTGGTTTTAGGGGAAAATAGTGCCTTAGAAATGGAAAAACCATGTAGAGTAAATATTAGAGACAATATAACATTTGTTGAATGAGTGAATACATAGGAAACATTGGCTCTCTAAACAGTTTCTCTGTGCTCGTTCCCTTCTTTCAGCTGTACGTGTTGTGGGTAGTATATCATGTCTTCTATACATGTCTCCACTGTGTGTGCCCGTCCGCCCGTAGGAGCCTCCCAGCATATGACAGAACTATGAAGTGGGGCACATTTTGAGTCATTTCTCAGCTCTGATTAAAACAAAAATTTTTTAGCACAAAAGAGTGGCATTTTTTTATTCTTTCTTTTTTTTTAATTGTGATTTGGGTGAAAGTTTACAGAGCAAATTCATTTTCCATTCAACAGTTTATACACATTTTCTCTCCTGACATTGATTACAATCCCCATAATGTAACAAGTCTCTTCCCACTTCCTCCCTACGGTTTACCTTTTCCTTGTTCCTTCTTTCCTTTTGCATTCCAGCTCTCTGAGCTTATCCCTTTGCAAATGCTGCCCTTTTAATCTCCTGTGGTTGATTGTTCTAAGGAATTTCCCTACCTGGTGTAATTGTTCATTTTGTAGGCCTGTCTATTGTTTGGCTGGAAGCCACGGGAGTGAGTTCAATTCTAGGCCCAAAAGGTTACTAAGGGCCATAGTCTTGAGGTTTCAGCAGTCTCTATCAGACCAGTAAGCCTGGTCTTTTTTTATTATTGAGTTTTGCTCCACATTTTTCTCCTACTCTATCCAAGATCTCCTGTTTTGATCCCTTTCTGAGTGGTTGACATTGGTAGCCAGTCACCATCTAGTTCTTCTGGTCTCAGGGTTATGTAGGCTGAGGTTCACATGGCCCGCTAGTCCCTTGGATTAATTGTTTCCATACATCTTTGATTCTCTTAATTCTTTGCTCTGGATAAGGAGAGGCCAGTTGTTAGATCTTAGATGGCTGCTTGCAAGCTTTTAAGACCCCAGAGCTACTCAGCAAGGTAGGATGTAGAACAATGTTTTTTTCCAGTGAAGAGCAATGTCAGGTAGGAGGCTGAAAGACAAGCTGTCTTGTGTGAGTTAATAACTCCTCTTTTCTCTTTTCCCATCTGCACCTGGTTATTTAATGATGTAGCTTTCCACTACATCAGGAGGAAGAAGTAATTACCAACCTTTGCTATCACTGAAGCTACTGCGCTAACATTTCACTTGTTTCTGATAAATCGGTCAGTTTAAAAATGAGAGCATCTCTCAGAGAGTCCGACAGGCAATTCTCAATAACTGTTGTGTGGCACAGAAGCATTTGCCTTTACCCTGGCATTGTTGAGGGAGGAATGTAGAGTTGTTGAGCCCCCTGTCTTTATTTTGAGGATTGGAGATGACAGGGAAATTAATTTCATATCAAGGAGCTGTATGTTCTCAGACATACCAGAACTGAACAGCTATGATCATTCTTCTAGTCACTTAGGCAGGGTGAACTTTTAGTCTATATCAGTTGCCTATATTAATTTCTCACTTTCCAGAAACAGATATTCATTTTGATCAACTGAATATTCTCATAGAGTAGAAAGAGTCAAAGTCTTATACTGTAGTACTTGTAGGTACTTGTTTCAACATATGCCTATGAAATATTATTACATGCTATCATGCCATATGGGAGCTCTGGTAGCATAATGCCTAAGGTACTTGACTGCTAACCAGGAGGCTGGCAGTTCAAACCCACCAGCCAATCCTTGGAAGGAAGGTTGGGCAATCTAGTTCCGTAGTGATAACTGCCTCGGAAACCCAAGGAGGGGTCACTGTAAGTCAGTTCCAACTTGAGTAGGGTCCGACTTGATGGCACATAACAACAACAACAGCATCATGTCTTATACCAAGAAAACCAAACTCACTGCCATCAAGTCAATTCTGACTCATAGTGACTAGCATTGGGTTTTCAAGGCTCTGTTTCTTTAAAGAAGCAGACTGACTCATCTTTCTTTTGTGGAGTGTCTGGTGGGTTCAAATCATTGGCCTTTTGATTACCAGCTAAATGCCTTAACCACTACACCACTAGAGTTCCTTACCATGTTATATAGGATGAAAATATTTATGATTTGCCTTAAATACAGGACATAAAACCTGATGAGGAAAAGGAAGAAATATGAGAAATTTGTTTCTTAGTTTGACTGTATTTGAGATCCTTGAAAATCTTGTAACTCTTAGTTTTAGGGACATCCATGTGCTTGCTCATCTGTGTCTGACTTAGAATTCATTCTTTGGAAGGTCAATTTCGAAGACTGGAATCAT